TAATAAATTGTGTGAAACAATTAATTATTTTTTTATTTTGTATTAAAATTAATCTCATCCATATCAAATTAAGTAGCTTCATACGTAAAGGTTTGTTTTCAGAGTAAATAGAGAAAAACAACTAAAATGATCTTATTCTAAAAATGAGTTATTGCGTGAGTTCCAATATTCTGTATTTGCCCTATTGGGATACCGGTATTACGTAAGCCGTATTTGCAATGTATAACATTGTGTTTAAAATATTGTTCAGAGTTTTATCTCTTTTAGATAACCTTTACATAACTCAGAAAAGAATCCAATTTATGTTTTGAATATGCGCAGACATTTGATGATTTTGTATTGAGGGATTGTTACTATTTGCGTTGGTTGCATGTACAATTCAATTAATCTTATACGTTTTCAAGTAACATTATTTTTATACAATGGATAGTTTCATTACCTCGTCTTTTGAAACTACGGAATTCCTAACAGGCATAAAATGTGATTAAAATTCTATTCTCCGAATATTTCAGGATATTATAGGCTAAATTTGATTTCATACTTGATAGTTTTAACTGTCATTCATAAGTATAGTAATACTTATTTACAGATCGAATTAAAATTGTATACCCTGTAAATATTTTCAATTAAAGTTTAAAATTAAATCTACATACTGTGCACTGTACCGACTTACATATTGTCAGTGCGAACGAAATTTAAACTATAATACTATAAAAAATCCGTACGTTAAACCCGTTTAGTTTAAAAAACCACCGGGTAAAGATCAAGCAGTAGTTATGGAAAAATGTTTTATTTAGTATTTGGACATTTTGTGGAAAAATGCAACATAAAAATCCATTGTTTGAAATTTACAAGATATTAAGAATCAGCTCACACTATGGATTGCTGGCCTTTTCGGATTCCAATGTTCTGCATTAAATCCCTGTTTCCATAAGTATTTGTATTGTCTACCTATTGATACTAGAGATATAAGTCAAGGTCACGAGTAAAGGAAATCAGTCAATACAGCATGTTTTACACTATGAAATATTAAATTTATCGAATACTTATTTTGATGGTTTGGAAATACTTTAACTCTTTTAACCATTTTATATAATTTAATCAATATTCAGCTGGAAGCTAAAGCCCACAAGTTCCATCTGTGTCTAGTATAATTCTACACAATATCAAATACCTTTGCCTAATAAAGTAAATTTAACCCCAATTCATTTAGGATCCTGATACCTCTGCTCTAAAAATGTACACAATAAAACCAAAATAGCACTTCGTAGAATACTATATGTAGTATTTAAGTATAGGATATGAGTTGGGAAACACTATGAACGTCCGCACGAGTGAGTACTACGATTATCCGCAGTTCTATCCTGATAATTAGACCAATTCGTAAATATTATATATCGTAAATATTATATTCGTTAAATATATCGGTCAGTCACTAACAAGACTACAAGATCGCGCCACCCATCCTACACTCATCCCCATTCATACTTGGCTTAAAATACCTACTTTGTGTGGTCGCAATTTCATAGCAAAGTATTAAAGTAAAGTATTAAAGTATTTAAATCTTTAATAGCTTCCAAGTCTTCAAGTTAGTGTCTTTAGAGTTGGTCTTGAACCCACATGCTATTGAGTTTCAAATAGTAGTGTATACAAATATTTTGAATTTCAAACATCCAGGATTTTGAACGCCCCTAAAAATATCACCAACATACAACAACATAAGTACACCAATTAACATATCGTTGACTAAATATGCTACCTCTAAAGGATATAGAACGCGTTTTACTTAAAACTATGTTCACCGAACTAAACAAATAATAAAAACAAGTATTACACAACTTATCTGAAGGGGCTTACTTGTCGCCGGCCGGTCCGGTGAGCTATCATATCTTCTACAGGAATATAACGCGCGTGTGGACAACATCGTGGCGAAAACTAATACATGACTACGGAGGCTGAACAACACGAGACTATCACTTCATACAGAGTGAAGCTCACAAGTAGCTTGGGTAAGTGAGGAGAGTGAAGCCTGTAACGTCACCCAAGATTGCATCAGGCGCGATAATCGATCGCATGATAATTTATTCGGTGTCTATATTGGTCTCGGTGTTGTTGCTATTTTTGGTAATTGATGAGCTTGAAATTGAGTGCGACACTAGCCCTTGGTTGATATTTTGGTAATAATGTCTACACGAAAAGAGTAGTAAAAAGATTCTGTACCGAATTCTGTAAAAAATCAGTTTAAAAAATTTAAAATCTGTAACGGTTTGGACAACATTTTAAAAAAAAAAAAAAAAAACAATGTTCCCAAGGACGTTCAAAACACACACAATTTTACGTTTGTGTGTTCATTTACCTACATCTAAATACAACGTGCTGAAATATTCAGTTATTTAGTGAAATATATTACGGGGAACAAGGGTAAATAGGGAGTCTCTTTATATGATTCCCAATATATAGAGTATTCTTAAAGGGAAACAGGAAACACATTCTAGATCTATAAAACATCTTCAAATTGATTCGCTTGGAAACCACCACACGTTATTTACAAAAGTGAACAACATAAGGATATTATCTCTCTGCTATCATATTTATCATAAATATACTTTTCACTTATACAAAATAATAAAACTAAATTGCACCACTTAACTTCATTCAATCTTTATAGCAACTTAGCAGACGCACAGGCACAGCCTATGTCTGCTAATTCCAGGACACATGTATATAGTTAATTAGTTATAGTTAATTAGTTTATTTTTGCATGAAACCCTTTTTTTTCTTTTGTACATTTGGTTGTGTAATTTTATATATGTGGTGGAATAAATTCATAATTCATTCATTCATTCATTCATCTTCACACTGTTCATGTGAAGAAATTGTCACTACACAACTTACAATGCCGAGTTTTAGGAAAAAGTTATTCTTTGGCATTTACATTAGTTAATTATAGCCTAACACATTTAAGTAGATGAATTCATAGAACCTTTCACATTGGCATCAATACTGAACACTGGAGGTAACATCACACAAGAGTAAGTTATAGCTACCATCCACTGAAATTGTTCCAATACTGAAAAAAATCGAAACTTACAATCTTGTATTTTGATATTTAAAAAGTTATGTAGGGAGTACAAAAAGTATTAACTTATTGAATTATAGGTGTAATGCAAAAATATGTAACATTTTGACTGATTTGTATAGCTTTATCATTTTTCTTCAACAAAAAAAAGATTTTTTTTTATAAAGACGATCGAGATTTGTTCTTGTACCTTTGAGAACATTCAAATGTTGGTTCATCATAATCCTGTCAATGTATTATACATTTTCTTTAACACTTACTGCATGTTTTAGATGTATTTAAATGCATTTTAAAGTATATATTAAGACTGTAATATATCACAAGAGTTAGTATTATAAACTACAGTCTGTGGCAACATTGTGAAATGATTGATGGGTTTAAATGTTTTAAATTATAACGTCGGCAATAAATATAGTGCCCGTGATTGTATAATTTTATCTACACGTTGCATAATGTTTTTACTAATCTTAAGTCACTCTTGTCAAGTGTATTAATGGCACTAGGATAAAAATACAATATTTAAAACCATGCAAGAACTACACTGTTCATGATGTAAGAATTTCAATGAGCCAATTCATGAGGTAGTATTGGTAATCATTGTAAAGCAAACTAAAGTTAAAACTCTTGATCTTTGCGAATTTCACCATGTAGCCAGACGTCCGGATTTGGTCCGCGAACACTTTGTATTCGAAACAAGTGTCCATTACAGATAAAATTCCGGATTTGGCTAAAATGGACGTTAATCACCAGCCAAATGCTATCCTGCACTAAACCATAGACTAAGCAAGGGAGTATGGCATACCAATGACTGAACTGAAGAAGTTCGCCATGTGTCTTCTTGCTTCAGCTTCAGCTAGACGTATTTTTTCCAAGATAGTGAAATTTTGCACTATCAGAAAAATAAATACACAACTCCACGAAAAGGCCATTGTCCAGATTGGGCCTCGATAAGTTAAGGTAAGCCTACCGAGGTTGCCTGACCGATAGGTTGCCTGACCGATAGGTTGCCTGACCGATAGGTTGCCTGACCGATAGGCTGCCTGACCGATAGGTTGCCTGACCTAAAGGTTGCCTGACCGATAGGTTGCCTGACCGATAGGTTGCCTGACCGATAGGTTGCCTGACCGATAGGTTACCTGACCGATAGGTTGCCTCACCTATAGGTTGCCTGACATATAGGCAAGTACCTAAGTAGTTTTGTGGTAAGTAAAACCATGGATTAATAATACTTAAGTATATTATCTGGGAGTGACTTTCACCATTATATTAAATTAAAATAGTTTCGTAGCTGGTTTAAGAGAACAAGAAACAAATATTAATGAAACCCCCTTTACATAAGCAAAAGGGAACTAATCTTGGAATTTTCTTTAGTTAATCCGAGTCCATACTAGTAGTATGTTACAACATTTCAAATCGAAAATTTATCTAACTCCAATTTCAATTTTCTGATTGAAACACAGAGGTTTAACCCCGTGTATAACCCATTTGCTAAAACCGCCGAAGAGTTTTAACGAAGTTTCCCAAATATCTATGCTTAAATTTATTAATGTATACAGGTATACAGTTACAATTTTAAACTACCCCAACATGTTTATAAAACAAAACAAAAACTCTTATTTCCAATCAAAAATCTCCATTTTTCCTCCAAACAAGAGGGTTGTGAACTGTCGTCTTTCCACTTTTACGTCAATTTAGGAACGACCTTGGGTCGCGTGTAAGGCGTAAGGTAGGTCAAGGAAGGAAACCTGGATCATATTAGACGACGCAAGATCACAGGGGGAGGGGACACACGCCGCAACAATGGGGAGCGTGAACCAATGAGGGTAGCGGCTTTGTACAACGCACCCCCACCCCTAGCAGCGACGTCGCCGCGACGGCCGCCGACACGCGTCAGAACCGTGCCTGCCTTGCGTCGTGTAACATGTGGAGAGTGGTAGTGCCGCGAGGGGGGGAACAGCCCCCTGTACCGTCCGAGCCCCCCGCGCCACCACACTGGGGCTACTCGGCACCCTGGGCCCCGCCGCCGAGGCCCCCCTTGGCCGCCAAGAGGCCCATGAGCGACAGTGATGACGGAGACGAGTTTTCTGAGGAGGGATCGAAAGATCAGTAAGTACTTAGTAATTTAATCTACATTTTGATATTTATTAGAACAGTATTCCCCTATTTTTAAAGTTGCAAAGTTGAATCAAATTTTCTATAAATAAGTTTCTTTGCAAATTGTTATATTTACTGTTGGTGCACAGTTCAATTTCGATCTTGACATATCTGAGGGACCTGCCCCTATGGCTTTAAAAGTCACCCTGTTTATCGTATAAGGGTTGTTTCGATAATTTTTGACAATGGACATTGTAAAGAACTACAACGTTTAAATCTTGTTTTCAATCTTTCAAATTAATTATCTTTTACACTGCTGGCGGAATAAAATCGATAATGTATTGTAAAACTAAATAATGAGTTAACTTATTCTATAACGGTGTCATTGATGAATACAAATGGACAACGATGACATATGAAATACAATATTTCCAAGAGTAATTCTGCGAAAAAGAGTAAAACCACTATTTTAAAATTTGTGTTCTCAACTTGTCACAAAGCACGATCTAAATCTATTAGTTAATAAACAAACTGTTTACAGAGGTAAAGTTTTTTGACTAGTTTTTACTGTTCGCTATGTTGTTATAAGACGTTATGAAAAACAAGGTTTAACGTAAGTTTTACTATTTTATCATGGAAGGATACTTGTAAACCCAATTAAGTCAGCCAATGACATTGTATCTTCCAAATCCGTCTTTTTCGGAAAAAATACTGCATATTTGACTTGGGTGAAAACACTGGCAGAAGTTTCAAGTAGCATTAATTTGTAAAAGCAATACACTATTAATGGATTTCTGCAATGCATCCAAAACGTCACCCAATATTTTCACCAATTCAACTACGTGGTCACATCCCAAAAGCCAAAATTTGATCATCTACTTTTACGAGGAGTCTATATTCTAGATTTTGTTTCTAGTATCTGAAAACTCAAACACTGTTTTATCTCAAACAAACTACTAAAATCCAAGACAATTTTTTCCTGAAACATCGCTCTCTTCTCTAGATGCTCGTCCCCCGGAGACCCCGACAGCTGCCAGATGTTATCCAGGAAGAAGCGCAGAGGTATCATAGAGAAACGGCGCAGAGACCGCATCAACACCTCGCTCTCGGAGCTGCGGAGGCTCGTACCTTCAGCCTTTGAGAAACAGGGCTCAGCCAAGCTGGAGAAGGCTGAGATACTTCAGATGACCGTGGACCACCTCAAGATGCTGCATGCTAAAGGTCAGTGGATATTTTGATTGTAAAAGTAGTGTGCGTCACTGTCTCAAAAGAAATTATAGTTATAAACGACAATGATATAAAAAGTGAATTCAAGTTGACGTCAAATAATATTGTCCCATGTAACAATATAGGGTCTCTAGTAAATTCATAGTGTTTGCCGTACCTCTCCAAAAGTGTTTGCTGAGAATCCAAAATGTAAAATTGTCCAGATACATTGTAAAATTGGTCTTACTTGATAATGCCCTTTACAGAAATCAAATTTAAGTTAAATAAATGAGGCTGCAACTACAAGATTTTAATATGGTGTAATTGATACCAAAAACTCCCTTTTGAGTTAAGATTTTAGATTATGGCTTAATAATTAACTAAATTTTATATGTCGTCGAATTTTTTCCTGCATTTAATTATACCTACAAGTTAACTATTTCATAATGTAACTTAATATTTGTTCAGTTCCCGTGTGTACTGATTGTATTCAAAATCCGGAACCATTTTCATAACTCCTTCCTTTTATTTAAAAGAAACTAATTTTTATTTACTTACATTAAAACAACATTTATTTTGGAGCCCAAGTAAAAAATTTCATAAAGGGAAGTAAGACGTTTTGGAAAACCCACACATATATTTACTACTCATACAAAATTAATTGTTAAACAATAATATATTACTTCTTGAACGGTCATAAGGTCTCCCAAAGGATGAGGCCTCGCCACAGTAGCCCAGTGTAGGGATGGGGCTCAGCTCAGTAACACACCACCTGTTGATTGTATCCCGTAATTCGCGACCGTCTGACATCTGACACGGTCTTCCTTTCCCACACTTCCACCTGACTGTAACCCCCCGCCCCCCCCCCACCACAGCCCGGACCCTGTCCATTAAGTCTAAAATCAACAGTTTTCGTAATTTACTAATTTCGATTAGTGTATGGACTTTTTACGCAGAAGTCTGTGCTTGTGTTAGAAAAAATATATTGTCACTTATTTTTTTATATTTTGTTAAATTCTAATATAAAATTAGTAATTTTCTGGAATGAGACGCTGATAAACACAGTAACTTATTTACAATTAAATTGGATAAACAAGCATTTTTTTATTAACTATCAAGTGGTTACTAGGGATTTCAGTCTGGATCGAGTTCAAATCCCTCCAAAGGCTTGATGTGCTTACTGAAAACGTACCGCCAGCGTACCACTGTAAGATAAATCAATTCTGTAGGCCTATAAGATAATCAATAAGTTTCAATATAATAAATGTTTATAGTTCCTCGGAGTAGATTATGCTTTTAATTTGAGTAACTAAAAACAACAGCTTATCAAAACTTTAAACTTATAGTACAAAACCAATACAACTCTTCTTTAAATACGTAAATTGTAAATTTAAAACAAAAATAACAAATAATGATGTCCCCCTAAAAATTTAAACACGGCAGCTCTATCCACCTCAAAGTCCCCACTTCCACAAAATACGAAAAAAACAATAAAAACAAATGATACACCAAAACAGCAGTAGAGTTGTAATTTACCAATTTTATAGCTATTTTATTTTTTTACGTAAAGATCTGTATACTACTGATTGCCACAGAACAGTTTACCTCTGGTTCCACTGATACCATCCCCCACCCCTCTTGATAACACGAGAGCGCTAGGGGTGCAGTGTTCCCACGGGTTGTGCCCCCTCCCCACTCACCCCGGCCCAGAGGGCTTTATGTTGTTTGGCCTATTTAATTGGTGCCGTGTCACTTTATTGATGCCAATTGCTATTGAATCGGACTGGAGTGAATTTTCCGTCTGGTTTGAGAAGGAATATGAATAGGGAAATCGTATGATTAATGAGCCTATGAGCTATATAAAGCTAAAAGCTATATAAAGATTGATCTGTTTTGCTTGAATTGAACTGAATAATTGTTGGTCCTATAAAAATCAACGAAGAGAGGTCACATATGAACTCATGTGATATATGTGAGTTTCTACTGAAAAAAAACAAAACATTTCCATTGAGATAGTCATAAAATAATAACTTTAAAAATTTGATTATTAAAATTCCAAATTCTTTTAAGTGTACTTCATTTTTAACATATTTTCTTTGGACACATTTTACATCACCGAACCGTCTGTTGGAAATAAGTGTTTTAACCAAATTAATAAACCTAAAAAATATGAGGTTCTTAAATAAACTGTATATAGAACACGTGAGTTTTTTAGAATACAGCAACACTAATAAGAGGATAAAATAAATAATACATGTAAACTGATCAAGGTTGACTATTAATACGGTTACAGTACCATGAATGTTTATTTAAAAGATAAATTTAGAATGTACGAAAAACATAGATGTAGTTTACTAAATAGATAAACTTATATTATTCTATGTATATTATCTTGGAACTGATCAACTTCCAGAAAATAATTAATAATGAAGTAGCAATGTCGTAAACTTCTCCACGGTTGTATGATGCGCATCGACAACAATCAAACAGCTGTTCGACCGTGCGACTCTAGCGGCGAGCCTGTGTACTACGCGGGCGATAGTCCGAGTTTCCCACGATAGGTAGCAACACCTGTCCTTTATCAACAATCAACCAGCTGATACCACCATGACGTCAATCCTCGCGCTGACTGAATAATTAACTCTTGTTTGCATTTCCAAATACAAGTCGCTTTGAGTGGAATTGTGACATTATTAAAATTGAAATTTGCACTTTTTATGTTTCTGTAATTAGTTTATTCAGTAAACTAAATTAATGTAGTTTATTATTACATTTTGTATGAGCTATTCATTATCAAATTAATCTTCTTTGATGTATACAAATTGTGAATATTTTTAAGCAATAATAGTGATACCAAATATAACTGTATTAGGCAGGTATTTCTTGCACTTTATTGAAAACAATTCAAGTAAACTATTTTTATTCTTTTTCGAGTTTTTAAAAATCATTGACTTTAAACTTTGATTGTATCGATAAAACTCCATTTTAAAAACTTCTTCTTCCTTATAAAATATAAATACGTTTCTTTGCAAGGGTCAACATTTATATTTATTTTTTTTATTTGAAGCCCTCTGTCACTTTGAAGTGCGCACTATACCTTTAGCAATATGGGAGTGTCTCTGAACGTCAGGTTAAACACTTATGGTCAGGGGCAATCCCACATTGCTAAGGGTATAATTTATAAGGTTGGTCAATTTACCACTAATTAAATAAAAGATTAGCTACAGCTTTTAATATAATCACCTTGTGGTCCCCACACCCACGTTGACACATAATACCCTCAATATTTTTCCCCAACTTGTTAGAAATAATTGATAGTGATTAATCAAACAAAAAAGTGTGTTTTCGAATTTTAATATATTTATTGATAATTTCAATACGTTATGTGCAGTAACCTATCAGTGATACTGTTGTTACTATTCTTTGCCCTATTTGATGTTCTAACCTCCCCTATGTCTCCAGGTATGGACGCCCTCGCCTACGACCCGTCCAAGTTCGCCATGGACTACCACAACATCGGGTTCCGAGAGTGTGCGGCGGAAGTAGCACGATACTTGGTCACCGTGGAAGGTTTGGACATCCAAGACCCCCTGAGGTTGAGGCTAATGTCTCACCTGCAGTGTTTCGCAGCACAGAGAGAACTAGCCTCCAAACAGGCTCCTTGGTACCCAGGTTCCGCTCCAGGACCGCCAACCTACCCGTTGGATACCTCACACTCGTCTTCCGCCAACTCCTCCTTCGAGACTGGTTCTTGCGAGTCTGCACCTCCAGCGTCGTCTACGACTTCCTCTACCTCCACGTCGGCGCTGACCCCTCTCACGACTGTGTCGGGGTACCATCAGTACCCTCAGCATCCCCACCATCCCCCACACCACTACCCTGCACCTGCACCTGCACCTCCTAGCTATAATCATCCTCAACAACACTCGTACCAACAGAACAACTCGCCTGTGTCCAAGCCTTACCGACCGTGGGGTGCAGAGGTTGCCTACTAGACCCTGTGAAACAAAACATTGACTATAGATACTTAACTTTAAGTGCCATGGACTAGTACCAATTTTTGTGAGGTAGGCTTCTAAAATAGGATATGTATTCCAAAATTGATATATGGATGTAGTTTCAACCGCATTCAGAAATGTACCGAATTTCCATTAGGCTAAAATCCACCCAGAGTAATAATAGTTTAGGTTTTTATCACTAACGAAGAGTTTTGCACTTTGCAAAGATTAGTGTCACAGAAATAAGGTTTTAGAGTTTTGCCAACTAGTTCGTAATTCTACGAAACACCATTGATGAAATAATAACTATTACTTCATCTATGGTAGGACATAAAACTTTATTAATGTCAGTGCACTATATAAAATGTTCAACCTTTTTCATACCCGCCTTCCTCGAATTCTAGCTCACAAGAAGTTACCTATGGTACAACTTTTACAATGTCAAAGAGATGTACACTTCACGTTAATGTATCTATTGTCTATGCCCAAAAATAGATGTATTCGATAAAGGTAGCACTGAAAGAAATGTTAAGATACACAGCACCAAGGTCGAGGTAATCTAAATTTGATGAATACTTATATCAGATAATATTTTATAGATCAACTGGTGCAAACGACGTTTTGTATTAAAAATCAACTCTTGATATTACTCCGGAGATGGCAATTGAAAAGGAACAAACAGAAACCAACGATTGTGTCAAATTGTGTTGAATCTAAATGCATTTTCCTTTGCATAACCTATTTCATTCTGGTTAACTTGTAACGATACTGCTTCACAGAATCTGAGAAGAGTAGGCTATAAGTAAAATTTCAATTTTTCAGTGCTATCTTTATATTGTACTTATGTTTTCACGTTGTACCCAAATCTGTGATCTCCCAGCTAGGAACGCTGCTAAGTCATTATAATAGTCACTAGCTTTAAGATTTTGTAAATATAAGTAAATAGTAGTATTGCGAAGACAAATTTTACTGTAGTGTAAAATATACAAATATTGTACTTGAAGAAAATGTGTGTTTAAGGTGGATATGTACAAAATAACTTCAAATGTTAAAATGCAACTGGAAAATAGACTTATTGAAGTGTAAAAATGTCTTTTGTCCATGAAAGTAAATACATAAATAATCATTCTTAGTCTTAAATTTCTTCGTCTGTCCAGGTTCTGATCTTATTTAAAAATTATTTTTTATCTTTGTATCTATATACTTTTGTACTTTGTGTAAAATGTCTCTTTATCTAGTGTTTAATTGTGTTTAGTTACTTTTGTTATAGTTGTTTATTATTGTTTAATATTTTAATTTATTTTACTTTTTAGTTTCAATTCATACATGTGCTTACAACAAATTCTAACTGCACATAAATTTTCTTCTTGGTTATTAAATTTAAAATATTTTTATTCCAATTCTTATTTTGTGAATTATTTTTGAAGAAATTCCTGATAAGAATAACTTGTACATTAAAAATACCTTGCAGGACAAAAGATCAATAAATAGATTTATATATTTTTAAGTATTGTACTTAAATGTGGAAACTGTGATCCTCAATATTATAGGCTTTAAGGCATTACTGTTCACACCTGATAAATGAATAACTAAAAAAATATTTTTGTAATTTTTTATTGTATATAACTACAAAATGTCACCGAGTGAATAAAGATCTATATTTTTAAATTTGTGATTATCGTCCTTATTCATCAATCCCAAATTTATTAAAGAGTCGCATGCAAATCAACTAAATAACTGATTTGAAATAAATTGGACTATTAAGTCAAATCATTACATCAACTGTTGAATTAATATTGCATAGATATTGTAGCCGTCGTAAAAAATAAAGTACATTTCACTAAAGATATTATATTTAGTGGAACTAGCTGTAACCCACGGGCTTCACCCAGTTTGACTTCATAAGTATTGATAAAACTATTGATTGGTTAAGAATAACGTACAAATACAGCTGAAGTATTTTTAACATTAGGTATATGGAAAGTTCCGTTTGGAATGGAATTTCGACCTTAAAGGACAATTTATGAAATAATGGATAGTTTTGCGCAAAGTTTCTCGTCATGACGAACATTTTAAGTATATGGTTTATGGGGGGCGTGACTTGTAGTTTTCTCAAACGTTCATGGGTACTTTGGTATTTATAAATGGATTTGTTAATCAAAATAATAATTATTTATTACATTGTAAGTATTTGAAAATCCAATTATTGTATATACATTTTTCAAAGAATGATTTGCTAAAAGATAACTTTCGCAATATTTTAAATAATCAAAATAATGTTTTGTTTAAAGCATGAACATGCTTGCCGTCCTCGCAGTACTCATGCTGTGACAGTCGAGTTGTGTTTATGGATAATAAAGCTGTTGTGACTATTTGCGATGGTTTTGTTTGTTTGGAAGACGAGAAAAAAGGCAAGCCACAAAAATAAGGTGCAGGAATCGGCTTAAAACAGGCATCGGTTCAGTCACATGTCTATGTTAGGAGAACTACCATGCGAACCAAAGGATATACCCCACTGCAGCAAACCTGCAGACTAAGCGAATTTCCATTTACCTGATTGGATTTTTTATTAAATCTATTTAAATAACATTAGGTACAAGTACCTACCTAGGTTTGCTGCTACAGGTTGGGTAAAATAATGTGATTCTTTAGCAAAATATTTAAAGCTTAGTATACAATTTTTGAAATTTGCCAAGTTTGATCAAAATACATCCATAAACAAGCAAACTACAAAAGTTTACTTATTCTCCATGAGTATAGCATGGGATTTTTTAATTTATAATTGTTTGCATATTGGTCCCGGGCCCGTCTTACCGTGCCACCTAGGGTAACAGCAACTTCCCTATAGGGAAATTCGCTAAAATTACCTGAGAGTGACTGAAGATGTACAGGTATTTTGTTAAAGAGAAAGTACACTTAACGGGAAAGTCTAATAATTTTTCTTCTTATTTATCTGAAAGTTTAAACAGCTGGCTTTAAATGATTCATTTTTGTCTGGCAGTCAATAATATCGTCAAACAGCTATATTTGATCCAGCTATACGACGAGCTTAGGTTAAGTGATTGGATAGTTATCTATAAATATAGGCTTTATAGTAAATATTACAATATTACAAAAAGCATTGGAACAAAATTTTCCTAAGTAGTTTTTGATCCCGTAAATTGGTTTCAATGCAATATTGATTAACAATTGCTCTAACTGAAACAATGAAGGGGAAATTAATTCAAGAAGGCGTGAATAGAAACTCCAAGAACACTTACCTATCTTCCCCCAGGACAAGTTGAATACAATGGGAGAATATCTTCGTTATAAGAAAATCTAATGTACTGTAATGTATACTCTGATTATCGAAAGAATGTGTTATAGGGTGATAACCATCAAAAACATTCTGGAGAAACACATAACCGATTTGTTTACTTCTACAAGACAAATAGATTATACAGGGTGTTTCCAAATTGTGTGGACATATTTTGTGGACTTGTTCCTTGGGCTAAGACAAACATAAAATGCCATATAAGTATGGGTCTGAAATGCCTAGATTCCTGTTTGTCGGCCTGTTTGTGATTTTCAAGAAATATTTTATATCATGGACATTTTTCAAGATAGAAATTTTAAAATTGGTATAAATGTGTATTTTAGTAGGTAAAAAGAGGTTACAAAGTTTATTTCCAATATCTCAAGCCGTTTCAATATGACAATTTAAAATCTTTAATACCAAATTTCAAACATCTTCTAACACATAATGAGAAGCAAAATATGCAAGCGTAACAAAGAGGTGACAAGATGGGGAGTCCATGGAACGGGTGATGGGTATGACTCTGTGCAAAGAATTACTCTGTGGCACGTGCTTCCCGCCAATTATCAGCCGTCCTGCGCGGGAAACACGTTTTACAAACAAAACTGCCCTTTGTAGCCCAAAACGGCCAGTTTACCTAATGACCAAGATATAACTCAGCTGCAGTCGGGTGAATAGTAAGTAGGCCATATAACCGGCTTGTCTGCTAAGTATGCCTTTGTTTAGCCTGGAGTGTGTGGATGCTGGACGTGTCATGGGTACACGTTTATCCTTCTGTGTCTATGGGTATTTAATTTACGTCGAAACAGAACCCATTGCTTTAAGGTAGTATTTCGTATCTATATGTTCTATACGGTATTATAATACGAGTAACGTTTGCGCACATGACTTCAAAAACGGGTCCGATGATTTCCGCCAAATTGTTAGAAACATCTTAGTTTTAGGCAAAAACATTATCCATGCTAGGTCCTGTTGTGGAAAAGTTCATTTTTGTTAAAAATCTTAAAATGAAATTTTAATATTTTTAACATTAGTCTTATGGATTGTCAAGTAGCTATGACAGTTTTACGAAAATGTCAATTAAATTGTAACATATGCGTGTAACAAAATCATCTACAGTAGAGAAGTAAATTCAAAGAAAAGAATATTCCTGCTAAAAGTATTGAGCATTGATTATATAACACACTTGAATTGTGAAACTAATGGGATGATTTTATTACGACTGTTCAAAAACGCAAGGTCTTTTACCACAAAAGATACACTAATAAAAGTCTCGAAGAAAAGCCAAGGACGTTCTGTAGTTTTCGACGATGCGCCTCTGAAATTTAGGCGTTGTGCCACGATCTCACAAATAATCATAGAAATCATATATATGTAGGCCTATAAATTTAATCTAATCATTTTCGTCGAGTTCCTTCAAACTCAGCCACTCCCAAAGCCGTAGGCAACTTTAGCTACAATGGTGTAGCCGTTTTGCCTCACTGCGCCGCGCTGGTCAAACTACAGTACATTTGTACAGCAACTTTTACTATGGCTAACAATGGAATGTCTATACCGTGAAATATACACTTTATTCAGTTTTAGATGTCAGCTGTTAACAATACTTTCTTGTAAAATATCATAGTTGTGTCTGTCACAGACTGTGTTGCGGTCTAACTTTATAATTTCTCCCACTTTTTTAGTGAATTTCCCATATAGCGAA